GCGTCGGCGTACTGATTGGTGCAGGTTTGGTGCCAGCGCGAGCAAGCTGTTCCCCATAAATGCCATCGACCTGAATATTCGGGTCTTCACGCTCTGCCGCATACCCGACTACAACGACCTCTTCAACGTCGCTGCTGTCGTCGTGGCCTATGACATCTCGTCCAATGTACGCCGCCCCACCCCCACCCCCACTGTCATTCGCAGCGCACTTTCGCGCTACATCGCTGACTTTGTCGATCGCTTGTGATTGTTGTTTCAGCACGGCCTGAGCGAAGCGCTGCGCTGGGCCAAAGAAGCGCGACGAGAAGGTCGGCACAACTTGGTGCTTGCCGCCGTAGGCCTGCGAAAAGACCTGGTCACGGTGCGCGGCCTTCTTCGGCTGATCTTATCAAACGAAGCACAGCATTACTGAGGATTCAGTGCTCACTCGCCTTCTTCTTTACCACCCCGTAGCGCAAGCGAGACGACACTGCAGCGGCGAAGCAGGTGGCCATTGGCGTCCGTGTCACGCTCTACGCCGAGTACTCAGCACTGCAAGCCTCGGTACGCCACTCGCATTGGGGTGGCTCGTGCTTCTAGCTGCTCATTTTCTCTTTCGGGTGTGCCCAGAGCCGCACGTTGACCAAGTTCTTCGGCCGTATCGCGCGGCGGGTGGCCGAGTACCCCGAGCTGTGGGTGGCCCCCATCAACGTACCCACTCATCCTCCCCATCAGTAGCGCGGTCATGAAGAAACTAAAAGGCGGCACAGTTGTAGTTTCTCCTCCATCATCACAGTCAGGCGAGCCTGCGCGTAAAGTACATCAACATTCCACTGCCAAATCATAAATAATCACAACACAGAGAAACCAGAGGTGTTGGTGAGGGGGAAAGGGCTGTGGCGTCAACTGGGAGGAGGAGCACGTACATGGGCTTCAGCGTGATCTCCAGCACCTCTTTCACGTGGCAGTTTTCGGCCAGTCTGAAGTCGTAGGTCCGCACGAGGGCTGCAATCGCGATCTCCATCTCCTGCATCGCCATGGCTTGCCCGATGCCTGCGTGTGCGACACACATGTGTCGTTGGTCGTGTCGTGTCGTGAGAGAGCGTCACTGGGAAACGCGATGCGAGAGTTGAACTGCACGTACAGTTTCTGGGACCAGCGCTGAAGGGAGTGTATTTCGGATCGGCCGAGCTGACCTCCTTGAAGCGGTCGGGCCGGAAGTCGCGGGGGTTGTCCCACAGCGCGGGATCCACGAACATCGGGTAGAACGGCACCCACACCGTCGTGCCCTTGGGCACCCGCACACCACACAGCTCTGCGTCCTCGAGCAGCACGCGCGCTGCGACCGACACACCGACATTTTGTGTTGAGCTCAGGCGCTTCTCGAGAAAGACGATGCAGAAGACGATAACTCAAACCTGAACCAGTGGGCGCCACCGGGGTCAGGCGCATGGTCTCCTTGATGACGCATTGCAGCAGCTGACATTGCTTCAGGCCTTCCTGCGTGGGCCAGGTTCTGTCCGCCATCACCTGCAGCCGCGTGACCACGCCGTGGTCAGTGTTTAGAGAGTTGGATCATGTGCAGTGTGGCGAGCGACACATGGGCACGCGGTACCCCGTCGATCTCCTGCCTGAGCTCAGCGAGCACCGCCGGGTTGTTGGCCAAATGGTACAGCACCCAGGCCATGGCTAGCAGGCGCACACAAGGAGTCAGCGATCAGCCGAAGCGGTCTGGCCTAGGTAAGTTGGGTAGGGCAGGTACAGTGGGCGGTGGTTTCGTGGCCGGCGCTGATGAACACTTCGAGTTCGATGGCGATTTGGTCGTCGGAGAGCCCCTCGCCGGACTCGCTGTCCTGGCTCTTCATGAGCAGCGTCAGCAGGTCCTTGACCTCCCGCCAATTCTCCTTCTTTCTCCGCTCGGCGATCACCTTATGCGCCACACCGCGCACAAACTTACTGCAGCGTGCGTGTGTGCGTGTGTGTGCGTGTGTGTGCGGTGGTGCGATGAGCATCATCAGCGACCAAAGCCTGGAGAGTAGGGGACATCTACGCGTTCGCCTGAAACCTCTTGGCGGCCTGACGATTGAGAAAGCGGAGAGGGTTGCTGTCCCTGGCCTGGATCTCCCGCAGGTTCTCCTGCAGCGCCACCAGCACGGGCGCCTTGGCGTCTGTCTGGGCGTGGAAGGACTGTCCGTAGATCGTCCGCCCGATAATGTCCTGCTCGCTCCCCCCCCCATCGACGACGCGTCAGCAGCGATTGACCGCCGCGGGGGGGGGGCGATGAGGGGCGCAAGGGGTCTCCCCGGCGTACCAGCGCCAGTTTGCTGAAGAGGTCGTCGGGGTCGAGTGCGGTGGCCGGCGTGGCGGCATCGATGCGCTGGAACATGACCTCGACCTCCTCCACCATGATGTCGTGCAACGTGCGGACGGACACGTACGAGAACGCCGGGTTGGCCAGTTTCCTCTGCCCGAGACCGAACAACATCAACTTTACATACACACGCGTGCGTGCGTGGGCGGTGTGGTGCGTGCGTTAAGTGGTTACCTCCTTCTTCCAGAGTTCGCCGTCGCCGGAGAAGATGTCCTGTTCGCCCTTGGTCCGCCAGCTGTCGTAGAGCGGACCCTTGCTACGCGCGTAGAAGAACCAAACCAAACCAAACCAAACCAAACCAAACCAAACCAGAGAGAGAGAGAGAGGAGGAGGAGGAGGAGGAGGAAGGCAAAGTGGCCGTGGGTGGTTAGGATCACGCTTTTGCAAACAAAGAGGGAGCACCAACGTGTCCGAGCGGAGGGCCAACTTGGCGGCCTGTGGTTCCGTCACCACCACGGCGTACTTGAGAGAGGCAAACGGCATGGGCCTGCCGACGCACACACATCAAGGTCGGTCACCATCATGAACCCCACCCACCCCCACCCACTCATGACGACTGACAGGTGGTGCGTACGGGAGGAGGAATATTGGCCCGAGCGAGTTGCGCAGCTGCACGAGGGCGACGTGCATCTGGTCGGCCTGGAACAGGCGCATCGTGGCCCACCGCGACAGGGCCGGTATGCCGGCGCCCCAGCCGGCCGGCCGCACCTGACAGCCCCGCACGTTCCGCCCAGGGTTAGGTATGGGGGGGGGGGGTAGAGGGCATGAAGTCTTCAAACCACGACGGTACCGGCACGACGAAGTAGCGGATGACCGCAAGGGCCAGCACCAGCAAGGAGAGGGCCACCACCAAGGCCATCAGTGGCATCTCGATTATAGAATAGAAAATTCATGAAGGAAGAAAAAGAAAATGGAGTGAAAAACAAAGATGGAGATGACAAATGCAACAGAAGATGAAGAAGAAACGATCTCCCAAGCGGTGCTGCGGCAGTTTGGGCTTCTCCCCAAACGCGGCAAGCCCACCCAACGCCAATGGTACGCACCTTCTTCACGCCCACACAACAGCCTACCCCCACTGAATCAGTCCATGCTTTATGGTGCAAAAGGACGGTTCTGGCAGGGGTGGTGATGCGCGGACATAGCGCTGTGGGCGGAGATGGCCATGATGCGGTTGTGGCGCTGGGTACCGGTACGTTCTCGAACCCGCCCCATGTAAGGCCCTTCCCTTTGTCTGCGATCGCGCTGACGCTTGTCTCGTACTCGTCCCAGGCAACAAGTGCAGCTCGCCGAGCAAGATGAGCGACCAAGGAGACGTCATTAACGACACGCATGCCGAGATCATCGCCCGACGAGCTTTCGTGAGGTGCACCTTTCTCTTGCATTCGTTCCTCATCGCATGCTAAGCTGTGTGCGGTGCGAATCACACGATCGATCAGGTTCCTGTGGCACGAGCTGAGCAAGTACGTGGCGGGGGACAACCCGACCATATTCGAAAGGGCCACCACCACCTCCACCACCACCGTAACGAACGGTGAGGGCCAGCCCATGTGCGGCGCCGGACTGTTCCCGGCCCGCGTGGCGCCGCACATTACCTTCCACATGTACATCAGCCACGCACCCTGTACGACCCCTTCCACGCGCCAAGGTGCCTACCTATTTCCATGGATGCACTCACCACGAAGCCCGTCAACAGGCGGCGATGCATCCCTCTCCCTCGCCAGTGACGCACCTGAGTCGTCATTACCTCCGCCGTCATCGTCGTCGTCATCGTCGTCATCGTCATCGTCATCGTCATCGTCATCGTCATCGTCGTTAGCGTCAGCATCGCCAAAGCCGTCTGTGGCATGTGGGCAGAAACGAGCTAGAGAAGAGGACGCCGGCCCAAGCACGGAGGAAGAAGGCAAGGAATCGCCGCCGTCGCCAACAAACAAGAGAGCGAAGCTGGAGGCCGGTAGCGAGGCGCTGCAGGAGGAAGAGGCCCCTACCGACACGCAGCCCGCAGACAATGGCGCGCCTACGCGTATACAGCGGACAGGCGCCAAGCCCGTCATTCGCGCACCCTCGGAGGTAGGTCAAACCCGGCACTGGACTGCGCCAGCGGCGCAACTGACTGCTGAGCCCGCCGCGCCCAGGAGGAGGTGCCTCACAGGTCTCTGGGGCTGGGCGCCCTTCGGACCAAGCCAGGCCGCGGCGAACCCACGCTGTCCATGTCGTGCAGGTCGATATCTACCCCACCACCACCACCACCACCACCACCACCACCACCACCACCACCACCACCACCACCACCACCACCACCACCACCCATGGGTTGTTGGCTCACTTTGCGGCGCCGTGGCACATAGCGATAAGATCGCGCGATGGAATGTTCTGGGCGTGCAGGGCGCGCTGCTGTCGCACTTCATCGAGCCCGTCTACTTTGCTTCGTTCACCGTGGGCGAGCACTTTGAACCCGACTCCCTCCGGCGAGGCCTCTTCGGTCGCCTTGCCCCTACCACCGCCGCCGGTAAGTAGCACCGTTCGTTCCGCTTTCTTGGGGGGCCGTTGGGCTGAGTTGACGCTTCATTTGGGGACAGGCCTTCCGCCAGGCTACCGATTTCACGAGCCGGCCATCAGGAAGGCTGCCACGACGTTCGAGTTCAGCCGATCCCACATCGTGAAGACAGCCGGCGAGGGCCTCCAGTCGTCTCCCACCTGTACGCCTACAGGCCCTTGGCCTTCATGTGTGTTCCCAAACGTCATCAGCTCACTTTAGATTTCGATGCCCCACGCAGCGATCAATTGGAGTTACGAAGATGAAGACGACAGCGAGGTCGTGCTGGCCACGCTTGGCAAGAAGCAGGGCGCCAACAAGAAGAACTGGGACAACCCCAAAGTCAGGTTAGTCGTTGTTAGGCCTCACTCGGACTCACGCACCCTGCGGGAGGAGTGTATTCTCACATGGCATGTGGACTCACTTCACCCCGCACCCAGGTCTCGTCTGTGCAAGTCAGCTCTGTTTTCCCACTTTTGGTTGGTTGTGCGAAGCCTCGAGCTCTCTGCGCTGCCCAGCAGCGTGTCTGGGTGCGCTCCACTATCTCCTTCCCTTTCATGTGGTGGGTGAGTACTCACACTCTCGCACACAGGCTGACTGCTGCCAAGAACAGGGAGGAGGACGGGGCCAACGAAGTGTCATACCATGCCTGCAAGCATGGTGCACTTGTGTACAGCACAGGACGGGCTCTTTTGCTGGGCCTGCCCTCCTTTCAAGGGTGGATCACCAACAACCCACAGTGGGAGCACTTTGTGCTGCCCTCCCCCAAGCAATAAGTAAAGTAAAAACAGGCGTCCATTGTCACAATGTTAATGTGCCAACATACAATGTTAATACCATTCTGCAGAGAGCAGCACTTTAGAGCTTGGCAGTCTTCTGCGACTGGGGCTGAGTGTGCTCATACAGGCCTGCAATGCAGCAAAGAATGAGTGTTTGTGTGGGGAGGGGTTAACAGGGTTTGGGGAGGCTGGAGCTGGAACGTACCTAGAGCCCAGATGGGGAAGATGTTCTTGTAGGCCGTGTAGCTGATGGCGCAGTTGGCGTTGAACACACCCTTGATGTCTTCCTGCGGCCAGTTGCCGTTGGGCAGCTGCCTCTTCATCAGCACCTGCACGGCCCTGTCCACGGGCCTCCGGTCGGGCCACTGGGCCTTGAGCAGGGTGAGCACCGCCCAGGCCGTGTTGACCACCTGCGTCTCCTCGTTCTGCACGTACTGCTTGGTCGAGCACGACTGCACACACGCACCGCACACGGTGGTGAGGAATGTGTGGTGGTCATCAGAGTCACGCGCACCCACATGAATCGCGCACCTCGAAGGTCTCGCCCCAGCCGCCCTCGTGGTTCTGCTTGGAGAGGAGGAACTGGCACGCCCGCTGGATGTAGGGGCTGTCGCTGGGCTCACCGGCCGCCATGAGGCCCTCCACACCGAACCACGTGCCGTAGGTGAAGCACACGCCCCAGCTGCCATACCTGCCATGCGCGGATCGAGCACCAGCGGGCGTTGAATTTCTCCGTTGAGTTACACGCGCGGCGTATCAGGCAAGATCAGGCGGTGGCGCACCAGCTGCCATCGGGGCGCTGCTTGCTCTTGATCAGGTCCACAGCCTTCTTCACCGCAGTGCTGGCGGTAGCAGTGGAAAAGTAAGGGCAATGAATGGAGGATGCGGTGAGCCGATGGTGGGGGAGAGCAGGCGACGCGTATGTACGTGATCTCGGTCGCGCGGTGGCGAGGGTAGTGCTGGACGAACATGGTGAGGGCCTGCACGCAGGCCGACGTGCACTCCACGTACGGGTAGTCGACCATGATCGCATCTGCGCCGTGGCCGTGGTGCGCTCGCGTTAGTCCAAGGGACCGATCGTGAATCACTACACGAGTCAGGTCAGGGGAGTGGTGAGGCGCACCGAACACCTCGGCGGGGTTGATGTACTCGAGGATGGAGGGGCCGCGCTGGAGTTCGTAGGTGGCCCACCCGCCGTCGCTGTTCTGCAGGGACAGGATCACGTTCACGGCGTCGAAGTAGCGCTGGTCCTCGAACGGCGTCACCCAGCTGTACACACACATACCAGTGAGAAAAAGCCGACGTGTGGACTGGGCCTGGGCGCTTTGCGTCACGTCGTGCGTGTGCGACTCTTACCTGAACTGCTTGAGGAGGAGCGAAGCCTTGAGGCCCTCGGCGGTACAGTCTGAAGAAAAGATAGGGATCGTTCATTGAGTGGTGAGTGGCAAGCTTCCACGGACCAGTGGAAGGCCGTGGGAGTGCGCAGAGATCGGTGTAAGTAGTACCGGAGATGGGCCAGCCGTGGTGGCGCGTGGAGAAGGGCCAGGCGCCCTTGCTGATGTGGCGGTAGAAGTACTCCATCTGCTCAACGTCTTCGCGCACCTGAATGAAGCGACAGCGCGCGGACGTGAGACAATGGTCACCACCACCCACCACCCTCACTCCACAGATGTGAACAGCTGCAGATCGAGCGGAACAGCGCACCTGGGTGATGTCGATGTAGGAGTAGGCCTTCTGCAGGCACTCCTGGAACTGGTCGCCCAGCCCGGTCTCGATGATGGCCTGCACCGAGAACGCCGTGTCCCACAGCTGACTGCCGTTGTAGCCCTAGTCCATGCCACGCACGCCACCACTCGTTGAGTATGTGCGTTCAAATCACCGGCGCCGATGTCGCGGGTTGAAAGAGAAAGAGGGAAAGGGGGGAGGGGTTTACCTGCATCTTCATGCCGTCCTCGGCAAGCCAGAGGTAGTCGGGCACGCGGTCGACGTGCCTCTGGAACTCCTTGGAGTCCTTGCCCTGGGCGTGCCACGAGCACAGCATGTTGATGGTCTTGTTCACCTGCATGCGCACCAAGCCCCACGGCCGGCCGTGTGAGTGGGGGAAGGGGGGGGGGGAAGAAAGGCACTGATTGGGGAGGGTGCGGGGGAGGCTGTGGGTTGGCTAACGTACGGGTCCGATGCACACCCAGTCGGTGAACTTGTCCTCCGCGGCGACGTGTTCGGCGGTGAGCAGGACTGACTTTTCCCTCAGCCACGAGCTGTGCACCTTCTCGTAGTTGTCCAGAATGACTGCATCACCGCAGTGGGAAGCGAGGTGAGGGTTGCGTGAGTTGGAACATCATCAACACTCAACGTGATGGTGATGGTGATGGTGATGGTGATGGTGATGGTGATGGTGATGGTGATGGTGATGGTGATGGTGATGGTGATGGTGATGGTGATGGTGATGGTGATGGTGATGGTGATGGTGATGGTGATGGTGATGGTGATGGTGATGGTGATGGTGATGGTGATGGTGATGGTGATGGTGATGGTGATGGTGATGGTGATGGTGATGGTGATGGTGATGGTGATGGTGATGGTGATGGTGATGGTGATGGTGATGGTGATGGTGATGGTGATGGTGATGGTGATGGTGATGGTGATGGTGATGGTGATGGTGATGGTGATGGTGATGGTGATGGTGATGGTGATGGTGGACGCGGTACCGTAGAGGCACTCGAGAAGCGTGGAGTGCGGGTAGTACAGGTCCAGCGGAGACACGTAGGACCGAATCGAGTACCAGTTGATCTTGGCGTAGTCATCGTTGGGGTACAGCTCCTGCATTGAGAGAGAGAGAGAGGTGAAGTGGTCAGAGAGGAGGCCATCGGTGCGCCATGAGGGCAAAGGGGGAAGCATAGAAGTGGTGCGTACCTTCCTCAGGGAGAGCACGAGGGGGCTCTCCGGGGCGGTGATGCGGCGCCCGTACACGTAGCCCATGGGCAGGTACACCATGCGGCAGTGGCACCACCAACGGCCTGTCCATGGTGGTGGCGGCGGTGCGCGAAGAGGAATGATTATTATTGGTCCGTTTTCAAAACCGGGCGATCGGATTGGGTGAAGAAAGAGCGTGTATGTGTACCGGGGTGGATGGGGAGCATGTAGGGGAGCAGCCACAGCTCGGGCGGGATCGGGTGGAGTCCCTCCCAATCGTAGACGCCCATGACCGCCAGCCAGAACTTGCCCTGCATCGACCCAGCCACCCCACACTCGGTCAGCGTCGCGGCTTGCTTTGGGGTGATGTGGGCAAGAGGGGCGGACGCAACGCACCCACGAGGGGATGCCCTTGCAGCCGTCGTTGGCGGCGAGGAACTCGCGGGCGCGCTTCATGCGGTCGTCCTCCATGGGGACGCCCAGCAGGCGCATGGCCGTGTAGTTCATGCCCGTGCCGAAGATCGTCGACGGGCTCTCAATGTGTCTGTGCGATGATGATGGTGATGGTGATGGTGATGATGCACACATCCAACCACCCACATACGAAACGACACACAACACGCCAAACCACTGCACGTGAGCCTCCTGAGCAATGAAGAAGAATGGAAGGTGGTGGGGCCGAGGTGACAACGTACAGGCCCCAGCCGCCGTCGGCGTTCTGTCGGTTGGTGAGGTAGCGCACCATTTCGATCTGCACCGGACGAGGCAGCTCGACGCCAGTCACGTGGCACGCAATGAGCAGTCCTGCGTGAACCCATGAACCCATAAATATAATTAAATATATATATAAAAGTTAAATAATGAAAAATGACTGGTGCACACGGCGTGAGCTCGGGGCACCAGCCGTAACGGCGCTTCGAATGCGGCAGCGGCACGTACCGGGCATGAGGAACATCGGGCCACCGTAGTCCATGGCCCAGTGTCCGTCCTCGCTTTGGATCTGCTGGTAGAACGCCACGGCCTTCTCCGCGGCTTCGAGGGGCGTAGATGCCGGGTCCGTTGGAGGCACATCCTCGTCCTATGCACACCACAGGGCCTTTCGAATCAGCCCAACCTAACCTCCACATCTGAGCCAACGAGGCCGTAGCGCGCGAATGGCCTGAAAAATCGTGATGGACGGGAAAATCTCGCGCCGTGCCTGAGCTTTGCATCAATTCAGAGGGGGGGTCGTACGGAAAGGAGGCCGAGAGTGTATTTGTCGGTGAGGGACTGTTGGACGGGCTCGTCGCCGTCGATGTAGTGCCATACCTGACGGCCCTCGTCCACCTTCAGCTTCCACCGACGCAGATCGGTCGCCTCCTTGCCGCTCTCGAATCCTTCCATGGTAGGGCTATTCTGCTGGCGTCGAAGACCGGGTTGGGCGAACAGCAGTAGAACGAAGACAAAAAGAATGAAAGCGACAAGTATTGCTAACCTCGCCGCATTTTCTTGCACTATTTGCCGATACGTGCGTTCGGCCGGAGGGTAACACTAACGGCACCTGTCCTAATGGTCGGCTTCAACATGTATGCTGAACATGTATGAACGTTGTTAGACGTGGTGGTGTACATCACAGGTGCACTTGTATTCTTCCAGTCCCTGTGATGGTGCAGAGTGTGGAATTAAAAATTGTTGGGTGCAATGCGCAATGATCACACAACCTGACCGCTCGACTCTACAAACCCACCAAGGCCGCCTGATTGTGGCTCGTCTTGCGCATGCCTATCTTCTCTCTCTCTCTCTCTCTCTCTCTCTCTCTCTCTATGCAGAGACGTTCGCCATCAACGAGTCGCACCCGGAGGCCTCCTCTCTCTCTTTCTTTCCTCTCTCTTTACATGACCACAAAAAGTGTGCCTCGCTTGGTCCCTTGTCCATGCGTCTTCTCTCTAGAACAGCATGGCGAAGAAGATTACCACTAGGAGCGTCAAAAAGAGCACCATGATGGTATACCTGGCACAGACAATCAAAAGAGTGAGAAGCAGTGCACTGCAAACGAACGTGGAAGGGAACATCTCTAAAAAAATAAACGAATAAAAAAATAAAGATAAAGCACGATTGTCAGTGAAGGGTACCACAGACACCACGGGGTGGCGCCAGCGTCGCTCTGCGCCTTCACTTGTCGCGTAGCCTTGTTGATTCGATCCGTGCCAGAGTCCACCCCGCCTGCCAATTTCCCGATCAATGGCGTCTGTTCGTCCACTTCTCGCCCTATCGTCTTTCCTATCTCGTTTAATCGATCTGCAGTGTGTCCGATCATCTCCAGTATATCATCCTGCTTCTTCAATTTCGTGCTGTTCATCTCGTAGATGCCCTTGTTGTCCAGATTTCGCGTCTCATCGGTATCCGCGCCCCTCCGCACTGGTCGCCCCGCCCCTCCGCCCTGCTCAATGTCCATCGCATTTCCCATCTCGCCTGCTTGTCCTCGTCACGCGGACCTCTGAGCTCCTGTGGCATATGCCAGGCAAGGTGGGCTCGTTCTTCCCGTCTGCGGGCCGCTGCTGTTCTTCGTTCTTGACTTCTCTTCTTCGTGGCAACGGTGTCTGCTTCTGGGCGGGAAAATGTCAAAAATGCTTCACATTCCAACGAAAAGAAAAAACAACGATAAATGTGAAAAACAAAAATCGCGCCAAAGAGCTCCTGCTGATCTCGGGATCAGAGCTGATCGGTTGAAGATGGAGCCGTACGGGGAGGGGCGAGGCCAGGAAGCTGAGGCGAGAAACGTGGAGGAGATGCGAGAGATTCTGGGGCTCTCACCGTCCGAGGTGAGTAACGAGCAGCTTCATCACTTCTTGGATGCGGCAAATGGCGATTTGAATATTGCCATCAATCACTACTTCAACGCTGAATCGAGCGGAACTCTTCCCAGCGTTGCCCCCACGCCTCGCACATCATCTGCCCAAGGTGCAACTTTCCTTCCCTGCTCCTTCCTCGAAATATTTTCGAAATTGAGCAAAAACATTTAGCCACCAGCGAACGCCGCCCGGTCCCGCCAAAGACAAAGGCAGAGGAAGAGGTGGAGCTATCCCCAGGTACTACCCAACTACGCCCATTTGACGAAGCGTTACTTCTGACGCCGCACAGAGGACAAAGCAAAAGTGGAGATGGTGAAGGAAGTGATAGGCGGCCAGGTGCCCGATTGGCAGATTGCAGAGTTTATGGAGACTCGCAATGGCGATGTCGAAGCGGTATATATACCTTCTCTTCTCTTACGCCATGTCGCTTCTTCTCCTGCTGACACCGCTATCGTTCACGAAAGACGATCAACATTTGCCTGGAGTGGTTAGTGCAGCGGCGCAAGCCGCTTACCAGTAGTGCCTCTCGCAAAGTTCGTACGTAGATCCTCCTCATCGCTGCATCCATAGACGGGAAGCTGATCGTTTCAACCTTGCAGCGCATCCTTCTTTTGAGATAGAGTCGCAGGGCGCGATGTCTGGGTTTGCCGAGGGCTATCAACGCGCTGTCCCGCAAGGAATGGATGTTGTGGAGGAAGATGACGACGACGAAGATAACGGAGTTGTGATCCTCGACAGCTGGACTGCCAACTCGGTGGTACGTGGTTGACAATGAGTAGCTGCATGTGAATGGACCCTGCACTTACGACCTGTGTGTGCACTTACAGAAACAAGATCGTGATGGGTGGCCCAAGTATCTGGGCACGCTCGAGTATGAGGTGGCCCTCATCGGCAATCGCCCACTGGCTGTCGGCTCGAACGTCAGCTTTGCCGTGCAAGAGGACAACTCTATGGGCGCCCACCTCGTCGCAAGGCACCCGGACACTGGCGTCGTTCGTTACCCCTCACCTGATGCTGACGTTCTGTGCCTATCCGCTGACACCACTTCGCACCATGGAACTCAGATACTCGGACATCTGGGGAAGAGGGCTCAGTTTCTTGCTGCACTGATGCAGCGCGGAATCATCGAGCTGCTGGGGATCGTGTCCAAGCGCCAATACCTAGCAATGGACGTGCTCTTCAAGGTAATTGGCACCCTTTATGCAACTGAGATGCTCTGTTCTCATTCATGCAACTCATGTTGCGGTCAGATCTACATACGTAGGGACGCACTGCGGCATCCCTCACAGTCCTTCTCGTTAGAAGCATTGCCCAACAGAGGTACAGCATTGGCTGCAGCCCCTTGCTTGCTCCACATCGTCGTGCCCACTAGCTAACCTCGCGAGAACGATCTGCAGGCAGAGCGCGCAAAGCGGACAACTTGTTCCTCAAGAAGAAGCCCCTCACCCAACTGTTCGAGGCTCTGGAGTCTCAGGCGGATCGTTTCGCGAACTCGAGCCGCCTGCTGTCTTTCGTGGGCAGCCAGAAGGACGGATTGGCGTCGATGCGGGACAGGGACAACGCTCCATCGCCCGCCAAGACCGACGACGACAGCAACCCTCTCCCATCCATCTACGGCGCTTCTTCGCCCGACAGTGGGCTGCAGGAGTTGCCCACTCCGCCCGAGCTGACCTCCTCCCTACTGCCACATCAGCGAAGGGTGCGTCTTCTCTCCGATCGGACTCTGTCAGCCCGTGGCCGCTAACTGTGAACCTATGCGCTTTTATCAAAGGGTCTGTGGTGGCTTGTGAATAGAGAGAAAGAGGTCCTTGTGACCAAGGCCAAGAAGCCCGGCGTCGTCATTGACTTGGACAGCAGCCACGAGGTGGTCGATCTCTGCGACGACGACGACGGTGGCGGCGAGGAGGGTGACACAGCATCGCTCACGACCACCACCACCGACGACTCTATGGAGGGAGCAGAAGAAGGCCTTCAAACGAAGAGGCTCCCAGAGGAGATTCACCCGATGTGGAAGCCTGCCACGTTTCCCGACGGCACCAAGTTCTACTACAGCGACTACAACGAGGCCATCAGGCACGTGCCGAGCCTTACGCCCCATCGCGTTGGTGTGTTGCTGCTGTTTGCTCTAATATCGTTATTCGTCTCGGCATGCGTAACAGCCTTGAATTCCCTTCGCGCCCCACGCCACCAAGGGGAGGGATACTGGCCGACGACCAAGGCCTGGGCAAGACCATCCAGGTACATTGATTAGCGTGAAACAATACCAGGCGCGGCCGTGTGTGACCCGCCGCCGCCACCATGGTGGTGGTTATACTAATTCGTGTACTGCTGGGCAGAGCTTGTCCCTGATCTTGACGAACAAAGGGAGCAGCAGCACCGTGGGCAAGAAGGACGCCACCGGCCGCTACTCGTCCAATGCCACGCTGATCGTGGTGCCGGTGAGCGTGCTCAATCAGGTCGATCCCCACTTAATTGTGCCATTTTTGTTTTGATCTCTGTTGACGCGGCGCGTGGTGCGGTTGTCTGTGTCCAGTGGGCCGGCGAGGTGAAGAAGCACACCAAAGCCAAACTGTTGGACGTGCTTCTCCACCACGGGCCACAACGGTGGAATGTGCCTGTCACTCGCCTGGCCCAAGCCGACATCGTGATCACCAGCTATGCCGTACGTGCGCCGTTTTCATGCATCATCTTGACCTGAGGTGCGCAACTCAAAAGTGTTGACTCGCCGGTGCATCACACTTTTGTGCCCGTGAAGACCTTGTCCAAGGAGCACGAACAGCAGCAGAGCGCTTCGGCCGAAGGGTCGGAGAAGCAAACCAAGAGGAAAAAGAAGAAGCCCAAGGCGGCCGTGAAGAAGCGGCCCATCCAGCTCCTGTCCATAAGGTGGCACAGAGTCATACTCGACGAAGGTACATAGCTTGTACCCCCTTTCCCCCGTTCCTTTCCGCTTTTTGCCTCCGCATTCCGCCTTCCACCTCCGCTCTCCACTCTCCGCATTCCGCCTTCCGCTTCCGCCCTCCGCCCTCCGCCCTTCGCTCTCCACTTCCCTCCGCCCTCCGCATTCCGCCTCCGCCCGGTGGTAACAATGCGTGCGTGCAGCCCATTTGATCCGCAGTCGCAACACGTTGATGGCCAAGGGCACTTTCTCGCTGATTGCCGAGCGCAGATGGTGCTTGACCGGTACGCTCGCTCTCTCTCTCTCTCTCTCTCACACACACACACACACACACACACACGCACGGCACCAGGCGAGGTCTCGCGGTACTGACCTATGCGAGGTTCTTTTTGTGGTTCTTCCCTCTGCAGGGACGCCCATCCAGAACCAGCTGGACGACCTGTTCTCGCTCATCCACTTCCTGCACGCGGAGCCATTCGCCGAGTACCGCGTGTGGAAGAACGTGATCGCCAAGCCCTACGAGCGCAACGACCCGCGAGCCGCGGAACAACTCAGGAACCTCTTGGGACACATCCTCTTGCGTCGAACAAAAGCAGTCCTCTCCGCAGCCACTTCGTCGTCATCGTCGTCGTCATCATCGTCGTCCATGTTGAAGGAGGACGAAGAGGAAGCCAAGGGCGGTACGGAGTCGAGAAAGCGAAGGCGAACGACCGCATCGTCCGACGATGACGATTACGAGGACGCTACAACGGAACTGGAGGAGGACGAAGACGAAGTGGAGGAAGACGAGGAGGAGGAAGACAAGCGAAGGGGCAAGCGCAAGCGTGTAGAGAATCAGGACGACTTCGTTTTGCCTCCGCGAGTCGTGGAGACCGTGGCCCTCACATTCAGTGAGGTACCCACCCCCTCCTGATACCCCGTATTATCGTCCCTGTCTCCTGTGTCGTGTCGTATCGTGGCGTGCGTGCGTGCGCGCGCTCGAGCCACTCGCGGTCTTCGCTAAAAACAACTGTGCGTTGTGCGTCACCCGCCCCAGGACGAGTCGGATTTCTACAACGGCCTTTACCAACAGAGCAAAATCAAGGTAGGCTCCTCCCTGGGCGTGGCCTTCCTTACGCGTCGGTGATGCGCGCACCGGCGCAGAAAAACTCGGCTCATCGCCCTCTCTGTCTGTTGTTGTTGTTGTTTCCAGTTCGACAGTTTTGTGAAGTCGGGAACGGTGCTGCAAAACTACGCTACCGTGCTGGAGCTGCTGCTTCGTCTCCGACAGGCGTGCAACCACCCCTTTCTCGTACTCGAGTCGCTCAACAAGAGCCGCAAGAAGGTGCCCGTCGCTCGTCCGCCTTCGCTTTCACACACACACACACACACACACACACACACACACACACACACACACACACACACACTTCCGTTCTGCTGACTGGGCGGCTTTGGCGCGAGAAACGCAGACGGCGCAGGACTTCGAGGCGTTCCTGGACTCCAAGTTCTTCGAGAACTCGGCCAGCTACTTCCAGACCCTCCGCACCAAGCTGCTCGCCACGGTCAACAAGACCAGGGAGGGCGATGGCGACGAGGCCAAGAAGGAAGAAGACCTGAACGACGACATCCCCGCCGCATCAGATGGCGATGAAGGTACGTCCCTCCTGCGTGCCACCGACCTTCACCATCTCAGCTTGGGCTGTGTCTGTGGTGTGTGTGTGTGTGTGTGTGTGTGTTGTCGCGGCTGGGCGATGTCAAACAGAGCTCGGGTGTGCGATCTGCCTGGCCGACACCGTCGCGCAGCCTTCGGTCACCCCGTGCGGCCACCTGTTCTGCCGGGAGTGCATCGACGGCCTCTTCATGGGCCGCCCGCAGCCGGGCGACGGACCCAAGCCCAAGAGCTCCCGCACCGGTACTCCCCTCCCCCTTCTTTCTTCCCCTTGTGCGTCCCCCCCCCCAAGACTGGTCATGGCCAGGCTCACGCTCTCGCGACCACATCGCACGCAGCGCTGTGCCCCACGTGCCGGCGCGAGATGACGTACGGCGAGGTGCGCCATGTGCCGGTGCCGCAGGAGATGATCAACATCAAGCCCGAAGAGCAGTGGAAGCCCTCCACCAAGTTCCAGGCCCTCGTCGACGACCTGAACCGCGTCGAAGAGGAGGACCCGCTGATCAAGAGCGTCATCTTTTCGCAGTGGACGTCGACGCTGGACCTCGTCGAGATCGCCCTCAAGAAGGCCGGTTACGCGGCACAGTCCTCCGCTCGGTACGGGCAGTCTTCGTCAGCGCACGATCGTACCGGCGGCTCACACGACACGACACACGACACACGACACACGACACACGACACACGACACGCGTGTGCTCAGGTGGAAAGGCGCGCGGGCGCACAATTCCTTCCTGCGGCTGGATGGCTCCATGTCGGCGCCGGAGCGCGAGAAGGTCATCGCCACGTTTTACGCCGACCCGCAGGCCAAGGTCATCCTCATTTCCCTCAAGGCCGGAGGTACGCGCACCTATGCGCCTCTTCACCGTCCCTCCCCCTCTGGGCGCGTCGAGAGGTTCTCACAACCGGCCTGTGTCGTGTCGTGCCGTGTGTGGTGTGTGCCGTGTGGTGTATGCCGTTTGTGTGATAAATCAGGGCTGGGTCTCAACGTGACCTGCGCCTCGCACGTGTACCTGCTGGACCCGTGGTGGAACCCGAGCGCGGAGGAGCAGGCCATCGACCGCGTCCACCGCATCGGCCAGAAGCGACCCGTGCACGTCAAGAAATTCGTCATCCAGGTACACCGCTCCCCCCTTCCTGACGTCAGCGACATAGGCAATGTGCGGAGGCGTCAGCGTCACGGTGGTGAACGTTCGTCTCGTGGTTTACGGACGCAGGGAACGGTGGAGGAGAAGATCCTCCAACTGCAGGAGAAAAAGGCCTCGCTGGTCGCCGGCGCCTTGGCCTCGGCCGACGAGAAGAAGCAGGAGCGGCTCGAAACCATCGTTTCTCTCTTCTCCGACTAGCCGAGACTTGCATCCAAATTAAAGATATAAGATTCATCATCTTGTCCATCACCGTGTTGTGGTTGTTCATGTTTTACGTTTTACGTTCTGTACAGTGCAGGCCAAGGCCTGTACACAGGTCACCTTTGCGCCGCGGCCTTACGGAAGGAGAAGGGCGAGGAGGGCGGCAAGGATGTCGGTGGTGGAGATCACCTTGGTGGGCCGCCCGTCGGCCCCCACGACGAAGACCCGGTGGACGCGCCCGCGCACCAGCCGCTCGATGACTGCGCCCAGCGTGTCCTCCTCCGAGACCGTCACCAACGGCTTCTTCATCGCCTCCCAAAACGCCTTCAGCGGCACCGTCAACACCTCTGTCACACACCCATCAGTTACGTGTCGTGTATCGTGTCGTGTCGTGTCGTGTCGTGTCGTGTCGTGTCGTGAGGGTGAACGCGCACCGGTGGTCTCGCTGGCCTGTTTGAGGTCGGACGTGGAGATGCTGCCGTAGAGGCGGCCCGCGTCGTCGACGATCGCCGTGCCGGAGATCTGCTCCTGGTCCATGATGGCTAGCGCTGTGAGCGCCTCCTCGCCGTAGGCCACCGTCCGCGGCTCGCTGCCGATCTTCAGGTCGCCCACCTTCCGGTTCAGCGCACCGCCCCACTTGTCCCTCTGCAGCACTTCATCGTCAGCTTCATTCATTCATTCACATTCATTCATTCATTCATTCATTCGACTGGCCAAGGTGGTGTACGACGTACGTTGCGGAGGAGGAACTGGAGGAGGCACATCTGGCTCACCATCTTGACAACATTGGAGGGGCCGTCCTGGGTCACGGCCAGCCGGTGCAGCCCCGCGCCAAAGGCCTTGAGGGCGTCCAGAATCGAGGCCTCGTAGGAGACCCGCGCAAACGGGTTGGCCTTCGACAGGTCTGCGCGCGCCGCAATCACCGACGATGATGACGTCAGCAGCAGCAGCAGCAGCAGCGTAGGAAAGAAGAGGTGGGGGAGGGGGAGGGGGGGAGGTACTGAGGATGCTCTGCACGCGGAGGCCCTGCTGGAGGTTGAGGTCGCTCACCGAGGCACGGCCCTGGCCGTAGATGAGCAGCACGTAGCCCACAAAGTCCTTGATGTCCACCAGGCCTATGAACTCGCCCGTGGCCTCGTCCTTGACCGGCGCACCCAGCACGCCCTTCTTCACCAGCGTCTGCACACGACACACAACACGACACGACACGCGTCAATGGCTCCTCTGGAGACCACTTGCGAGTTGGGGAGGGGGGGGTACTTGGAAGCCGGTCTCGATGGTGTCGGTGGCGCAAAGGGAGACGAGCTCTTGCTGTTGGAGCTCCTCCATGTCGGCCAGCGTCGTGGCGTCCAGAAAGCTCCTCAGTGGTGTGGTCGATGTCTCCATGAAGATCTCAGGTTTGTCGATGTCGTGTGGGCAGCTGTGTTGTGCGCGGGCTGTGTGTTGTGGGTGGATGAAGGCTGCTGCACCTCTGTTCTGACGTTTTTGAAGCGCTTCGTCGGTGTGGCACGGACTGGAAAGGGCGCGCAGAATTGGGCGAACGCTCCGCGAACGCTCCACCACCGACGCGCGCGGTGTTACCGCCTCCCGACGAGGTGGGGCGACGGCCGGGGGCTGAGGAAGGATTGTTGGTGGAGATGAAGCTGTACAGGATTTACATTTGCTTGATTGCCATGGAGGAATGGCGTGTGAGCTCAGTTGTCTGAGGAGGAAGAGGAGGAAGAGGAGGAGGTAGAAGGATTGAGTAGTGCGTCGGCTCGCCGCAGGCTGAGGGCAGACACGTTCACACGCTGGCCTCGGGCGGTGCTGAAGCCCAAATCGAAGCGAGCGCTGCCCACGGCCGCCGCACCGCTCGCCGCACCTCCGTCCACACGTGCCTGTCGCACAGTGGCGAAGGTCAGTCAAGATTCTACTTGAGGCTTTCAATGGGGTAATCGTACTCGCTTGGCAAAGGTGAGGTTTGAGGGGGTGCTGAGGTGATCAAAGTTGGTGACGCACATAGCTCCATGCGATCGCTTGTCGCGTCCTTGCTCAATCGTCTGCACCGGCACAATAAATTCAAATTATATCTCGGCACTACATTTTCGGGGCGAAGCAATCGCGATTGCAAGGCACGTACGATTTCCATTGAATTGGTGTAAAGCGCTACGCTAATTAGAGATGAAGTACTTCAAAACGCAACTTGCCAGTTGGCGCCAATTGATGTTTTCTGCAAAGAAAAACGTGAAAGGATTCTTGGAATGTTGGGGTAAAAAAAATACGGGGTTGAGCTGAGCTCAGTCATCGTCATCATCATCGTCGTCGTCCTCGTCTATCACGCGCGGACCGGTGACGGTGAAGAACTGGTAGGCCAGCCAGTGGTAGTTCTTTTCCCAGAGCCCGCGACCCTCCAATTCGTCCAGCGACACCTCCTTGCACGACCGCGCGATGAGCTCCTCAAACTGAGTTCATCAACACCAGAAAGCCATCAGAGCGTTAGTGGTGTCGCTGAAGGGGACGCTGATGGCGTGAAGAAGAAGAAGAAGCCTAGTACCCGATCTTCAAGCTGGTGGGCGAGTGGCGGATCGAGAACGGTCACGTTGACCTCCAGATTGCGACTGCTCCAGGCGTCGAGGTTGAAGGACCCGACATACGAGTAGATCCCATCGATGCTGGCCATCTTGGCGTGGAGCTTCTTGTCCCACATTTCATAGATCTTGATTCCTCGCTTCAAGAAGGATGAATAAATATGTTGCTGCGCCGCCCTGGATAGGTAGGTAGGAGTTAGGTAGACACATCATCCACGCGATGTGAGCGTTCGCGCACTAGTCTCTCACTCACCAAGTCGCGCGCGCAATGCAATGCTGTACCGGATAAAGGGTATATCGCTGTCTCCCGCCGTGATGATGCGCACGTCGGAACCGTTGCGCGCAGCCCGAATGATGGCCCTCTGATGCGTGCGTACGTGCGTGCGTGCATGAGTGTTGGCTCCAGCGGCTGAAGGGATGGCATAGAGAAGGAGGCGCACCTTGATGTTCCTGGGCGGGAGAAAGTATGGCGACGAGAGGTAGCAACTGTCGGTGGCTGATCGAAGAGCTAACCGCAGAGCGGCCTGCACGTCCTTCCTCTGCCGTCGGATGTTGGACTGGAGTACCTGTTGCGCACCAGCAAACGGCACAGGCACACAGGAAGGGAAGAGACGAATAGACCGCGGTCAACCAACGTAACTCGACAAAGAGCGTCAAACGTATGGCGGCAACCAACCTGTACAAAGACTCCGTCCGGGGTTGGCGGTAGGTCTGGTCGCCGCTCCACAATTTGCTCGACCCGGTCGATTTCTCTGTAACAGCGGAGGCCGAACAGGCGCTAGCGAATGAGCCCAAAGATCTAAGGGGAGGGGAGAGAGACGAGGCGCCCGTACTCTATGGGTATGTGCTCCTGGTTGGCGATCAACGAGTTGAGGAACACAGTTTCGAGGTCCTTCACCGCTGGACCTTCCATCTTGATGTGTGTGTCGCTAAACGTTTCTGCTTCCGCACCACAGGCCAATCAGCAAACCGTGCTTGCGCGACACATCACACACACACACACGTGATGATAAGGGACTGCGAGCGCACCCTTTCCAAAGGTCTTGAGGCCGGCATAGTCTTCGGAGACGTTCATCCCACCACAGTAGCCATGGTCGTCCACGATCAAGAGCTTCTGATGATTGCGGAAGGGTCCGTGCCGCCAACTCTGCCACCGGGAAACGCGTACGGGGCCGAACTCGAGACATGCTGCGCGCAGGGGCATCAGAAGCAGGAACCAGAAGAGCACTGCTGGCAAAGAGGAGGAGGAGGAGGAGGAGGAGTTGAGGAGTGTACAGGCGCCGGCCTTACGCAGGGGGGCGAGGAACTCGTTGTCGACGCTGCGAGAGCCGATGGAATCGTAGAGCAGTATGACGTCGCACCCGCGGCGCTTGGCCTGGGTGAGCAGCTCCACCGTGCGCTTGCCCACACGGTCGGGCTCCACGGTGTAGGCCGACCACCACACTTTCTCCTTCGCCTGTACAGGGAAGCCGAGGGCGGTTACAGAAAGCGCAAGTGTCAGCTCAAAGCTTCTGTATGCAGCTGTATGGCACAAGTGCAGCGAGGGAGCGGTGCATTTGTTTTAATGCAAAAAAGAACAATAATTGAGGATAGATTTGATGTGGGATGAGGCGGCACCTTCTGAATGGCGTCCCATTTGGCACCAAATGCGTCATCTCCATGAGTGTAAAGGGTGATCTTGTTGCCATCTGAGTGCCCGCCGAGAGGCAGGAGCGTCTGCAGGGTGGGCTGCCAGCGCTGCGACACTCTTTCCCACAGATTGGCAGCACGGTGCCATCGCTGGGCCAGGTAGGGTGAGAACACCCCCCGAACCTTGTCGGCAATCTCCTTCTCGCTCATCGAGAGCGAACCCTTCTCCACGCAATCCTCAGCTCTTGCTTTGCTTTTCTTTTTTTTATGTTGCATTTTTTGTCAGGGAATTACCAGGAAATGCCGATCGTACAGGATCCAGCACAGGGGGAACGTTCAACAAGATGGTGGTGGGCTCAGAATCCCTTCATGCTCTTGTACTCGACCACAGACTTGATGCGTGCGGCAAGGCCGTTTTCAACGACGACCCTGTCGCCACGTACGACCATCGCTCTGCGCAAGCCGAAAGCGTGGGACGCGTTAGTTGAGTCTAGATACTGCGTGACACCACACAGCAAAGCCGCGGAGCACTCGTACCGCTTGGGACCCAGGGAGATGATGAGGATTCGGGTGCCGGGCTTGTAGGAACGCATAGACTTGCCGCTTTCCATTGCCATGATGTTCTTGGCCACCACTCCGCCGTGCTTCTCGGCGTTCTGTTGGGACGGGGCGTTGCGTTGTGTGGAGTCAGTGGAGTGTGCCCAAGAAGAGAGCGGGAGTAAGAGATCAGGAAAAGCATAGTGCCTGGGCGAGCTTCTCCTCGTCGATGTCGGCCACGTCGCCGACTGCAAAGATGTTGGGGTGGCCCTTGACCTGCAGGTATTCGTTGACTTTGATGTGCCCCCGCTCGGACAATAGGTCGCCGCACTCCGCCTGCAGGAAGTCGGTGTTGGGCACGAAGCCCACGCAGAAGTAGGCCACATCCGTCCTAATTCGCTCCCCCTGTCGTAGGTTTGGACAGGGAGTTGATGGTGCGAACTACCGGTGAGACTCGGCCGAGAGGAGTATGAGCGCTTGTTAGATCATTCCTTACCTTGGTGGTGAGCAGCGAGTCGCCTTCGGCGCTCACGACCTTTTGGTCCTTGAGGATGCGCGCGTTGGCCGTTCCGTTCAGGTACCGCTTGATGTTCTTGTGAGCTCCCCGACAGTATCGCTCGAGCATCTTCTTACCCGAATAGATCACGGTCAGCTGCTTGTCTGCAGCGACACACCAAACAACACCAGTCAGTCAGCTGTCTGCGACCGTGACGCTCGCCTCTCCTTCGCTGCACAAAGACGCACAGGCGCGAAGACGTGTGGAGGGATGCGGTGGGCATGGGGAGTACCAGCGCAGTGGTGAATGATCTCGCCTGCGATTTCGATGCCCACAGGCCCAGCACCAACCACGGTTACATACGTGGCTTTGGCCAGAGCCGCTTTGTGTCTGCGTACGTCGTGTCAGAATAATAAACAATAAATAAGAAGAATAAATCGTGGGTGAAAGCTGGTACTCTAGGAGGGACGAGGGTTGCAGAGGGTCGATGACGAGGACTTGGTCGTTGCCCTGCACGGGGACTCGATATCGAGACCCGGTGCCGATGACGAGGTAGTCGTAGGGCAGCGGCCCGTGGGACTTGAGCAGGAGCGTGTTGCCCTCCCTGTCCAGGCCCACGACTTCATCGACCACGATCGTACAGTCCCACAAGTACTTGTGGGACCGATGATGAGAGAAGAGAACCGCGTGAGATCTCTGCATGTGAGTGAAGAGCGGGTGCGAGTGCCACAACGTACTTTGGTATGGGGCGCGGTGACTTTTTCGAGATGGTCGGTGTCGCACAGGCACGCGGGAAGCGAGATGATGCACATGAAGTGGTCTTTGTTGTCCACCAGCGTCACGTCGAATGACGATTGCAGCTTCATCGCCACCTTCCGGCCAGAGAAGCCACCACCCACAACAACCACCTTCCTTCTCTCGGCGAAGTGGTAGAGCGCACTCTCTTCCTGCACAGGCACCCCACCAACCCACGCCGTTCGCGTGAGTCACCACACCCACGCGACGACACACCACCGCACACGCACCACCGCACACAGGAGGCACGTTAAGGAGAAGTGTGAGTACGAATGCGGGTTTGGCCTCGGTGGATTCCTTCGCGGGCACGATCACAGCCTCCTCCAAGAGGCGGCCGGCCAGCTGGAGGGCTTCGCTGCGATCGCTCGAGGCCGGCCAGTTCTTCACCAGCCACTCCACCGCCTCCGCACCTTGGTGTGGTGGGGGGGGGGCAAGCGTTGGACGGCCGTCGAGTGAGAGTCAAACAGAAGAAGAAAGAAAGAAGTAGAAGGGTACCGGTGAAGGAGTCTGGGCGGGTGCGTAGCAGGCCGTCGCGGTGTGCACGCGCTGGGAAGCCTGTGCCGGGCCGCCGTGCAGCGGCCACGAGTCTTGCCCACTCCCGAGCGCTGGAGTCCTCCACATCATCGTTGTTGTCGCCTTCCACGGCCTCGACTTCTCGGGAACCCTCCAGATGAATCCCCTCAATTTTACCAATCGCCTCCTCCAGCTTCATCTCATCCATTTCCTCCTTCCCGACTTCGATCTCGACTTCTCCCTCCATGTTGCTCGCAGGGTGGAGTTCTGTTGTCCTTTAAAGATTGCAAAGACAAAAAAATCAGATGATCCAAATCTGAGAATCCAGCCAGGCATACCGTTGGGCTGAAGAAAAAGGAGCAAACAGCATGAAGCTCCACTCTTGGAGCTCTCTCCTCTCCTGGAACCTGGAAGTGTAAGTGCTGCGCGAACGGGTGCGGCTCCCTATTGGGCCGTGTGATGGCGAGGAAAGAACAATGGCGCTGACTAGGACCTCCTAGGCAAGAGCAGATACCGCAGGTCGCCGCAACGACCAGGTCACCAAGGTCCCCCACGCCAAAACGTGATATACCTGTGGGTATGGGCGCCAACATCGCGGCCGCCAAAAGGGACAGAAGGGACTGCGATGATCCACAAGATCAGGAGTTGCGACAACGTGACGACGCCTTGGCTTCTGCCGCGCGAGACACAATACGACACGCACGCCTTGGCTTCTGCCAGACAGCGGCTACCAACATACCTCACATGCCGCCCATTCGTGCCCCTCATTCGCGCCTAATATAATAATAAAACAAAATCTCATTAGCGCTGGCCAACCGCCTACGTCGAACCAGAAAAAGCGTCAGAAAACGGGACACGAGCGAAACCAACACACGCGAGGTGCAGCCCCGCGGCCAAAGACCACCACAACCACCCGGCGCGGTCTGTTGCGTATTGCCAGTCATACCCTGCTCGCCCGGTACCCGCGACATCACGTACAAGTAGCACACTTGCGTTGATTGATCGCCCACAACATCATCCAAGAAGAACGATAACGAAGCCTGAGGAGAAGGAAGGAAGGAGACCAGACAGACCCACAAAGATATTGACAGTAGTACAAAGAGAAGATGTGGGGACAGTCGTCGAGGGGGTTTGATAGAAAGAATGCCTACTTCAGGCCGATCGAGGACGACGATCAGATGGCGTGTTCGTCGAGTTCGCCCTCGGCTGCGTCGTCGCCCGTGTCGTTCTGGTCTACGGCTTCCGCTGCTACCTCGACCAAGTCTGCTGGCGTGAGCGAAGACGATCTGCTGACATCGCTGCACGAGGAAGCTCGCAAGGATCGTGAGCGCATGAAGCTCATCAACGAGCTCATCCTGTCCGAACGTGAATACGTCCAGGACCTCGAAGCCATCAACTCCGTACATTCCCCTCCCCCCGCCCATTAGAGCTACATCCCTCCCACATTGAATGGCTTGGCAAATCGTTCCTTCATTCAACCAAATTAGGCGATGCGTAGACTTGATCGAATTCATTTGGGCAACCAAGTCTTGATCGTGATGTAAGCATGTCACAACTCACCACGCTCGATTTCTTCTTTTCTACGCCAACACAGTTGTTTCTCCAGCCGCTGCGCAAGCGACGAATCGTGCCTGAGAACGACGTTGGGCAGCTCTTCTCTACCCTGCCGGCCATCATCTCCCTCAACAAGGCCCTCCTGAGCGCCGTCGTGGGCAGCTACACCCAGGCCGAGGCCTACAACCGCAGCATCGACGCCACCGTCGCCTCGCTCGTACAGAACAGGGGCAGCTGCACCAACAGCGGCGGCGCCCGAGGCCACGGCTTCAGCGCCGTCATGACCGCGCGCGGCCTCATCAGCCTCACGAGCGTCAAGCGCAAGGAGTGCCTCATCGCCGACGCCTTCCAGCAGATGGCGAGCTACCTGAAGGTCTACACGACCTACTCGACCCGCTACGTGGACGCCGTGGCCATGATTAAGCGCCACCGTGCGGCCAACCCGGCCTTTGGCGCCTTCCTCGAGGAGGTCAAGGGCGCCCCGGAGTGCCGCGGCCGCGACATGAAGACCCTCATGCTCCGGCCGGTCCAGCGCCTGTGCCAATACATCACCATCCTGGACGACCTCGTGCGACGCACCCCGCGCACCCACGGCGACTACGACCTCCTGACCCAGACCGCCGCCAAGGTCCAGGAAACGGCCCGCAGCGCCGAGGAGTCGCTCCTCACGCTCCAGATGGCCGCCAAGGACGCCGACGACGACGATGAGCGCACCACCACCTCGCCAATCGGCATCAGCAGCAACAACAACTCGACCACTCCGCGCCGTACGGGCTCGCGGGGCTCGTCGGGCAACCGGCGGCGGAAGGTCAGCCTGTCGGAGGAGCGGCCTGCGCGCATCGAGCGAAGGCGCGACAGCCTGGCCGACATGCCCGACGTCACGCTCGAGCCCACGACCACCACGGCCACGTCGCAGCAGGACGCGAGCCGACAGCCCAAGCGACAGGTCAGCTGGCGATTCAGCCTCGGCCGCGTGTCGGCGCTCAGTGGCGGGCACGTCCAGCAGCGGTCGTTCTCCGTTGGCGACCGCGCAGAGAGCGGCGAGTCGCTGCTGTCCCTCCTGGAGAGGGAGAAGCAGCAGGGCAGCAGCGGAGCGTCCACGGCGGCGCCCCACGCGAAGGGCGGCAGCGGTGGCAGCACCGGGAGCCGCAGGCATCGGGGCCTCAAGCGCGGCGGTTCACTCACGAACACGGGGAGCATCGACAAGGCCCAGCCCCGACGGGTCAACTCCGCCGTCTCCCTCTGCCGATGCGAGAGCGCCACCGGAGTGACCTTCAAGGGCGGCCTCGTTTGCTGAAGACACGTCCATCTTCTTCCTCCGCTTCTTCTTCTTCTTCTTCCCTTCCCATTTTTGCCTTTGCTTCGCGTCCTCGAGGTGCCGCACGAAGCAACGCCGTGATGTACAAATACCCCGATAATAATCAGTAGTTATACAATAGATGAGAATAAACGCAATAATAATATACGACACTTTATACGCTTCTGCTACTCGTGACGCAAACTACAATCCCTCCGGCACGCCGTGTTTGACCTCGGCGGGTTCGCGCTCTTCTTCTTCTGCCTCTTGTCCCTCCATCCCGCTGGGGGGCGATGAGTCATCGGCCTCGGCCAGGCTGGTCGCCCAGTCCTCCTCGTCGGTGTCGTCCGTCCACTCGTCCTCCTCATCGGCCTGGTCCGGTTCGTCGGCCTCGGCCTCGCCCTTCTCCTCGTCGGTGAGGACGAAGAAGCGACGCGAGCTCAGCGCCTGGATGAGCGACTCCCGAATGCCGCTCCCGTCCGACTCCCTCCGCACCCCCACCTGCGCCACCGGCGGTGGCGGTATCTACACAATTCGCACACACCCCTCTCATCAGCACACCACACACACCGCACACACACACCGCACACACACACCGCACAAGCACGAGGAAAAGGTGACGTGGGTGCGTACGTGGTTGAGGTTGGCGACGCTGGTCCCCTTGATGGCTACCAGGAGGGATGACCTGGGATCTGGCCCCTTGTTCTCCACCGACCCCACCAGCGACGGCGGCAGGAACGGCGCCAGCTTCTCCTTCAGCTGGAGTCGCGCGCGAACCGGAATGTGAGTTGTGTGTCGTGTCGTGCGCCTGCGTGTGCTGTGGTGCGCATGCGTGTGCGATAGACAAATACCTGCTCCTGAGCCTCCTTGCGCACGCGCTCGACGAGCTCCTGCACGCGCTCCCGTTCCTGCTGCTTCCACACCTCCCACTCCCGCTCGCGTCGCTCCTCGTCATCCTTCTTGCGCCGCAGTTCCTCCTCCTTCTTGCGCCGCTCCTCCTCCTCCAGCATCAGCCGCTGCTCGAGCGCGCGCCGCCGCTCCTCCAGGTCGGCCATCACCTTCGCCAGCTCGGCTTCCTTCCGCTGCCGCTCGGCCTCCTCGATCCGCCGCCGTTCCTCCTCCTGCCGCCGTCGCTCCTCTTCCAGGCGCCGTCGCTCCTCCTCCAGCCGTCGGCGCTCGGCCTCCTCGCGCTGCCGCCGCTCCGCCTCCTCCCTCCGCCGCCGCTCCTTCTCCTCCTTCCGTAGGCGCTCGGCCTTGGCTCGCTCCTCTTCGGCCAGGCGCAGCCGCTCGGCCTCGGCCTCGGCCCGCAGCCGCTCCTCTTCGGCCCTGCGCAGGCGCTCGGCCTCGGCCTCGGCTTCGATTCGCAGGCGCTCCTCTTCGGCCAGGCGCAGTCGCTCGGCCTCGGCCTCGGCCCGCAGCCGCTCCTCTTCGGCCCGACGCAGCCGCTCGGCCTCGGCTTCAGCCTCAGCTTCGATTCGCCGCCGCTCCTCTTCGGCCCTGCGCAGCCGCTCGGCTTCGGCTTCGGCTTCTATTCGCAGCCGCTCCTCTTCGATCTGGCGCAGCCGCTCGGCCTCCTGCTCCACGCGCTGGCGCTCCTCTTCAGCCATTCGCCTCTCCTCCTCTTCTGCCTTTCGAAGGCGCGCCGCCTCCTCCTCCTCCCGGAGGCGCGCCTCGTCCGCGTCCGCGTCCGGGTCCCCGTCGCCCTCGCCCTCGCCCTCGCCCTCGTGTTGTGGTTGCCCCTCCTCTGCCTTCTCCTCCTCCGTCTCCTTTTCATTTCTACTCCGCTCCTCCTTCTCTGCGGCCTCGCGCTCTTCACATTCCTTCTTGCAGCGCTCCGCCTCCGCTGCTGCTGCGGCTGCGGCCTCCGCCTCCGCTTCCTCTTTCTCCCGCCGCAGCCTTTGTTGTTCCGCCGCCTCTGCCTGCTCTCTTCGCTGACGATCCTCCTCTTCGGCTTGTCGCCGCCTTCGCTCCTCCTCCTCCACTTCCAGCGCTCTCTGGCGCCTCGCCTCCTCCTCCTCCTTGCGCACCCGCTCCTCCTCTTCCTCCTTCTGCCGGCGCCTTTCTTCCTCTTCCAGCGCTCTCTGGCGCCTCGCCTCCTCCTCCTCCTTGCGCGCCCGCTCCTCTTCCTCCTCCTTCTGCCGGCGCCTCTCCTCCTCTTCTCGACGCTTGCGCTCCTTCTCCTCCTCTTCTTCTTCCCTCCTCCTGCGCTCCATCTCTATGCGCTGACGCTCCTCCTCCTCCTCCTCCTTCCGCTTTCGCTCCGCCTCTGCTTCCTCTTCCTGGCGTCGTCGCTCATCCTCCTCCCTCCTCAATCGCGCCTCCTCCTCCTCCTCCCTCCGCTTGCGCTCGGCCTCGTGGCGCAGGTACTCCTCCTCCTCCGCTCGCCACCGCCGCTCCTCCTCCTCCAGTATGCGCTGCTCCTCCTCCAGCTGCCGCCTCATCTCCGCCTCCTTCGCTTCTTCTTCTCTGACCGCCGCCGCGTCGCTCGCCGTCGTCGCGCCTTCGAGCACCACTGAGGCCTCGCCGGGCGCGAGGGGCAGGGCCTGGGCCGGCGTCTGCGACTGAAGCGCGAGCTCGTTGGTGATGAAGGAGCTGGCGAGGGAGTTCTGCTGGGTGGCAGCGTTGGCGGCGACGAGGAGGCTGCTCATGCGGAGGAGCTCCTGGCGAATCTGCTGGAGCTGGTCGTCCTTGGCCCGCAGCTCGGCCTCCTGCTTGGCCAGCCGCTCCTTCTCGCTGCGGAACTGCTCCGCGGCGGCCTCCTCCTCGCGCCGCGTCTCCTCCTCGACCAGCTGCAGCACGTCGTCGAGCGTGTCGTAGGTCACGTTCTGCTTCCGGGCCTCCACCATCTTGGTCACCGTGATCCGGCGCACCCGCGTCTTGATCCGTCGCTTGTCGTCCGACGGCGACGATGGCGTGTTGATGTTGTTGTTCTCCTCTGGTCGAGCAGCTGTCGACGATAACGAACGAGCGGAATAGGATTGATCGTCTCCGTTGTCGTTGTGTCCATCGCGGAGCGACCTGGGCCGTGGCATCGGCGAGTGGGCCAGCTGCGTGGGCCTCGGCGGGATAAGCGAGACGGCCGACCCGCGGTGGCCCAGCACCGGGGCGTGGCGCGACCGCGTCGGCGGCATCGATGAGGCTGCATAAAATGAATCAAATCAAAATAGGAAACATCAGCATGGATGCGTTGGCTTGGGGGGGGGGAGAGGAAGAGTGGTGTTACCCCACTTCGAGCCCGAGGCTGTCAGGGCGTTCTTGGGGACGGGGGGCGACCAAGGGGCCTGGGTGCCGGGCATGGGGCCGGAGCCGGGCCGAGCCGGGGGCGCTGCAGGGGAGGGGGTCATGGCGAGGCCTGCGAGAGGAACGAAGGAGGCGAAGAAGCTGCGCCAGGCGGCGGCGTCGTGCTCGTTCTCGGCCCGCAGGTCGTACATGCGGCCATCCGTGACGGACATGGTGATTGTGAGGGGCTCGCGCGGATCGGGCCTCGAGAATCGGGTCTCGTCGAGGGGGATCGATCCAATGACCTTATAGGGCTCCTTCTTCTCCGAGTAGCAGAGATGATTTCCGATGGTCTTGAAGTAGCGCTTCACCCATCTCGACCGGCTCTTGCCCTTCTTCTTCTGTTTCTCCAGATACCCTTCCATCTTCTCACTCTCTCTCACTCTCACTCTCCCCCTCAGCACTCCACTCTCCTTCAACCTGGGCTCTCTTTGCTCTCTCTTCTTCCAGGTCGTTCCCGCCCACTCCTCCGCCGCGAAGAGCCGTGGACTTTCCTTTTTGAGGGTCTAGCGCGTGTGCGGGTGAAGGCGAAGATCAGACGTGTGCAAGATGATTTCAAATGGGCGTTGTTTCGATTTCAAATTGGCGTTGTTGTTGCGGGGCAGAGTTATGACCGCACACGCCGTAGGAAGGCCGATCTGCCTTTGCACTTGTGATTGATCAATGCAGCACGCAGATGGAGAAACTAAGGCCGCTGGGTGGCAGCAAGCCATAGTGAGCGCAAGATTGGAGGTCATACTGTGTTCCTCCTTCTCCAAGGTCTGGGATGATCGCGGCACTGGATCTCGTGGCGACATCTCCATATGGCATGTCAATGCCCCTCCTGGTACTCAAATCTTTGCCACATTGACATCAAAATTACGATGAGATTTGAAATCATAATTGATAAAATTCAAATCTCATCATTTGAAAAGGGTACTTTTGCTTGGGCGACCATGCCGAGCCGCACCACGAAAGCCAGCCACATGGGACGGGATTGGTGGTGCGCCAGGCCGTGGAGGGCGAGACCGACCTTCTGGCCAAGCCGGTCGATTTTGTCAAGACCTGGGTGCGTGTCTTGAACCCACTCTAGACTGCCGCTGCAAAGGGCCTGGCTCACGCACTCGTGCCATACAGGACAGCCGCAAGACCGGGGCTCGGTACGGCGATGTGTCGTTCTGGCGGCCCGTCCCTCCTGCAGGTTACGTTGCGCTGGGTGACGTCACCAACGCCAACAACGACCAGAAGCCCTCGAAGGACTCGATGCGGTACGGTACACACATTGTGCTGTGTGTGTGCCAACCAGAGGCCCAGGAAAAGGTTCTGATCACCAAGCGCGGTGGTGGTGCGCAGATGCGTGCACAAGTCCATGGTCGTCGCCGGCCAATGGGCCTACCCACAGGCTTGGTGGGACTCGGGGAGTGGCGGTAAGTAGCGCGTCTCTTCATCCAGCAGCAGCAGCACCACCACCAGAAACAACAACGACGGCACCGATCGCCTCACCGTCACTTCACCAACCCATCGATGTAGGATCCTACGGTGATGCGTCCCTGTGGTGCGCGCGACCCAAGGACTCCTATGGCATCAGCACGCACACCTTCAAGAGCGACTGGTACGTACCTTCTACCTCCGGCCCGTCGTCACCATCATCATGACCCCCCCCCCGACCTCATATCTCGTCCATGACCCCATCCAGGGCTCACTGCTTCCCTCTGTCGTTCCAGCCGTACGTCCTCAAGAACCAGACGAAACTGTACCAGACCAGCCGGGCCGATGGCGAAACCAGCAGCGCGCGGCAAGGTGCGAACTGGGTGACCACACCGGATCACCCGGTCTCGGCCCGACCTGACTTGGTGTGTTCGATTAGGGCGGAAGGTCACCTTGATGTCCCACACGGGCCGCTTCCTGCGACTACGCGAGAACGGCGAGGCCTTCACTTCGACGTGGGCCGGCGCCCAGGACCACACCTCGGGTTGAGGACATCTCTCCCATTTCATACTACTCATGATCGACCCTGGGCCTAACCTATATAATGATCAATTTGTACGCCAGGCGAACCCGAGGAGGCGTGGATGATGGCCCAGACGCAGCAGAAGGCCAGCTTCATGAACCGGCACGGCCTCTACCTGTCGTGCAAGCCCTCGGGTATGTGGCGCTACGTCTGAAGAAGCGCGTACATCATCGCTGGGCCTTGATGTGCGGTGGTGAACGAACACTCAACCGCGGACCCCCATGCATGCAACGCGTGCATGCAGGCGAGCTGGAAGGCGTGCCAGAGGCCTCGAGCGGGGAGGGCACAGAGTTCGAGGTGATGATCGTCAACGACAAGGTCAGCATCAAGTCCCACCTGGGCAAGTACCTCACCGTGCCTCGCTCCGCTGACAGGTCTGACCACCACACGCGCACAGTAGAGCGACAAACACTCAGTTCTTCCCCCCCCCCGCAAAACAGTGATGCGGTCGCGGCGCAGTCAGACAAGGCGTACTCGTGGACGCTCAACTTTCTCTCGGTCACCAGCGGTACGCCTGGTTGGGGCTGCTGCTCACCAAATGTCATGGCTTTGGCCTCACTTGAGTTGGTGCGCGCGCGACAGGGGTCTACGCCACGTTCCGATCGCAGCGCGAGGGTCTGTTCATGTCGGCCACCTCGGATGGCGCGGTGGTGCTCGTGGCTCGGGACGAGCCCGGGCCGCAGGAAAAGTGGACCCTCCACGAAGACGAGCGCAAGCTCACCCTCCTCTCATCATGGGGCTACTACCTCAGGTACGTTGTGTGTGTGGTGTGTGTGTGTGTGATGTGTGTGCGTGTGTGCGTGTGTGTGTGTGCGTTTGTTTACACTTGACTCGTCGACACTGCAGCGTGGCTGGTGGGACTCTGAGCGCGCGGTCGCCGACGGTGACTGAGTCCGAGCGGTTCTGGCGGTTCGTGAAGGGCGAGAACAAGCTCGCCATTCGGTCCAAGCTGATCGACCGCAGCCTCACCGCCGTCACTGGGCAGCAACGCGTCGACGTCAGCGAGAAAAAGGACAGCGAGCCCACCATGTGGATCGTGCAGCTGACCTTCTACTCGTAGTAGTTGTAGTTGTAGTTGTGGTGGTACTACTAGTCATTCTGAGATTCGTGTATCGTGATTCATAGCAAGAAGGGAAACAAAGTTGGATAAATAGTGGTGAAGGCTCGTTCTAGAACGGCTTCTTGGGTGTGAGCAAGGTGGAGCGGAACGTGGCGCAGGGCATGTAGTTGGGCCTGTGGCTCTCCTCCTCCTTTCTCCTCCCCTGCACCAGCTTCTCCACCATCTTCTCGAGCGCCTGCACCACTTGCTGGGCCTGAAGAGGTGGCGGTAGGTGGGCACACGGATGCGTTCGGGTTAGCAGGGTCCCTGGGGGCTGGGAGACGTGAATAGGCTGCTGGGGCGGGCGCGTACATGTGGTGTGTTGAAGACGAGCCGCTGCGGGTTCATCAGCGAGCCGGCAACTACGCCCAGCGCGTCGTTCTTCGCCGACGACCAATTGGAGATGGCTGCTCACACGAACATGTTCAAATGTGTTGTTCGGGGGGGGGGGTGATGAAATCAGTTCTGTGTGTTGTGTGTTGGTGTGTGTGTGTGTGTGTGTTGTGTGTGAATGAAGAGGGGGGCGGGAGTACCCTTGAAGGTGGCAATCGCCAATGGCTCCTTTTGCGGGAGTCGCAGAATGATGAGACCTTCGCGACTGACGCCAATCGCATTCGTGCCCGGGTATTGCTTGTTCTGCTCCACAAGAAGTGAAAGAAGTGAGCCAAGCCAAGGGGGTGGTGATGGCGCCGTAGTGTCAGAGATAGTCGGCTATCATTAAGGAGGGAGATAGGGCACCTCGCAGAAGAAGATGGTGGAGCCGTAGTACTTCCACCTCCTGACGGTGGCGAGGTAGAGCTCCTCGGCCACCTGCACGGACATGTTCTTGTCCAGATCCTCGAACTCGTTAAAGATCGCCAACAACCACTCGGTCTCCGATTTCCTGTTGCGTGTGTCGTGTGTCGTGTGTCGTGTGTCGTGTGTCGTGTGTCGTGTGCGTGCGTGTCGTGTGTGTGTGTTGTTAGCCATCAAGAACCTGTGCGCGCGGGAGGTGCTTGCGGTACATTTGTAGGGCGAACGGGGGCAGGAAACGGACGGCCTGCATGAACTCGTTGTTCTTAGTCGCCATCGATGCGCGGCCTCGGTCCTTGACCGTGCGCGACACCTGGATGAAGTACTGCAGCGCCGACAGGTACGCCGCCTGATCGATATGGTGGTGGCCCAACATACGTAAGAGAGAGAGAGAGAGAGCGAGTCAGTCGACTGTCACCCCCTCCCCCCTCCCCAACAACAGTCCGCCGCGGAGAGGTTCAAGTGCGCACCTCGCCTTCGGTGACGGGGTGCTTGCCCGAGTTCACGAGAGCGATCGCCTGTGTTGCATCGGACGCGCGACGTGAGCTGACAATCATCACAAAGCTCACTTGCAATGCCGGCACCATCATCATAGCCCAAACATAAATAAATAATAAATAAAGAAATAATAGAAAAATAAACGTGATGTACCTGGTGGCACAGCAGATGGTTGGCGATCGGGTCCGAGAGTTCGTTCTGTGGGTTGAGCGACATCGACTCCTAACAATATATTAAGTGTGTTGAGTGGTGGTGATCCCCACCACGCCAAGGCGAGCACGAGAGAAGGAATGGAAGGCAATGCCATTTTTTTTTACCTGGAATACGAAGTGGAGGGCCTCCTTGCTCTTGGGGGGTGTCACGAGCTCGAACTTGGCCATGATGTCGCAAATGTTGTCGCGCTCCAGCAGCAGCGTGCCGACGGCTGTGTGCGTGCGTGCGTGCGTGTGACGAGTGGTCAACCGGTGGCTCCACCTCAGCACGCGCGCGCGCTATGCGATTGTGTGCGTGTGCATGTGCGGTGGTGCGGGGGGGAGGAATACCTCCATTGAAGCGCAGGTAGGCGGACTGCTCAGTGCCCAGGAAGCCGTAGAGCTTCCAGTCCCGTTTCGACAGCGCCTCGGGCGTGAGCCTGAAGTCCTTGATCAGCTGCGACGTCGTGTCCTGCACCGTGGCCGCCATGTCCACCAGCACCCCCTTCGTCGCCGTGTCGAGAGTCCACACGCGGACCTGCAGCGGGTTGCCCATCTGTGCACCGATGAAAACAGTTCAGTTTAGTTCAGCTCAGTTCAGTTCAGTGGTTCGAGCGTCGCCGTCTGCGATGTGGAGCGTTACCCGAATGGCCGCGAACTCGACCTGCGAGGGCGCAAAGTGGCGCGCGCCGGCGGCTCGCAGACGATCGAGCCGGCCCACGCCCGAGGCTGCCAGGCGCGACAAGTCCTGTCGTGTTTTGTCGACCACACAATATAGCGCACTCGTGCGTCAGCTGCAAAAAGAACGAAAGAAGACTGCGGGACCGCGAGAGGTAACATACCTGTGCGACCTTCTCGTTCTTGCAGTCGTCCGGCGTGAGCTTGGTGTGCAGGTGCAGGAAGTCGAGCAGGTAGGGGCCGAGCGCGCGCGAAGGGTTGAACAGACCGCAGCAAATCGAGATCAGCTCCAGTCCCTTCACTTGGCTCGCCCTGTGGTGTGTGCGCGTCGTCGGTTGGCCGTCAGCGAACGTAGGAAAGAGTTGATTAAGAGAGGGGGGGGGTCGCGTACGGCTTGGGGTTCTTGTTGGTCTGCCGGAGCATCTGGCAGAAGATCTCCTCCCTAATGTTGGGCCTGTCGATGCCGGGCTGACAGATCTTGGTCATCAACTCTGTGGGATTGAATTACACGCACACGAAAAGCAATACAATGTGAGCCCCCCAAGTGTGTGTGTGTGTGTGCGTGTGTGTGTGTGTGTGTGTACGGTACCGGTGGGTCTTCGTAGGAAG